GTTTTTTGTACGTGGTGTGATAAGAAAACTGAACACACGCGTAAAATTTTAGCAAATTAAGCATAACCCACTGTTTTTGTCTTTCGAAAAGAGTAAGAAACAATAATATGAAAAAAAAAGAAATGAGATTGTTTTCTGTTTATTAACAAAACTTTTCAAGTTTTTTTTAAAAAAAAGTTTATTTGACAAAAAAATAGCAAATTAAACTTTTCAAAATTAGTTTTTGTTTTGAAAAGTCAAAGTTTTTTTTCAGCCTGAATGACTAATTTACAGTTTATCTTCAATTTGATTGGACGAATCTTGACAAAAAATGAAAAAAAAACTTTTGTTCGAATCACGCGTGAACAAACTTACAAGTTTAGCCGGAAAATGGAAAAAGGTTTATCCAAAGAAGCCAACTTCTGTAGCGACCCACAAGACGATCCCTCAAAGGACGAGAAGCAGCCCCAAAACAGAGTCGCAGGTAAAAACGACGCCATCATTTAAATTTGCATAAAAAATGACAGATTTTTCCTTATTATAATTTTAGATTCTTGGGACAATATCATCAACGATTATTTTGAGGCAAAACTTGCCCTTGTTTTCCTCTCTGCAGCCCTTGTCGAGGCCTTAACGGCCGATAAAAAGTTAGTGACCCACAAAAATTTTGAGGAAAGGAGACTAGAGGACAAGGTGATAGAGACAGAGTCGCTGGCGCCGGTGCTCATCACACTAGAAGACATCGGAACCAAAGCCACTTCAACCACATGTTTATTTTTCAAGACCAACTTTTGATTTTCTTACTCCTCTAGCTAACACTCCTATCAAGTCGACACTGGCGTTTGAGGCATTATCAACATGGTCGTCGACATTTACACCTCATTGAGCTCTATCAAGATGGTACCACTCGATACTACTTTGAAGGTTCTTCTTTGGGAACGATTTTTACGCATTATATTGCACCTTCCCACGGCGACCCAGATGCGGAATCTAAATGTAATATTTCGTGAACAACCGATCAAGAGTTGAAAAAAGTCAAGAAATCTTTGATCGAAGTTTCAAGAAAACTGAAAATTTGCATTTTTTAAAACTGCCAGTATTTATGAATTAATCTTAATCCAGTATTTGTTCCGACCCTTGTAACTGGGGAAGAATTTTGTAGTCGGGTGTGTTAAGTTTGTTTTCCTTTTCGGTTTTCCGCGCACATTCAGGAAAAATGATATTTTATTTAAAATGATATATCAATTTGCAATCCTTCCAGACGCGATTAGAACCACGTTTAAAAACCCTAAAAACTTTTTCCATTGTCGGGAACAACTCGTTTTATTTTTGGTTTTTGTCGTCTAATTTTGAGCCTGTAAAGCGAGCGAGCAGGCTTGCTTTTGCTTAGTTTAAGCCGCTTACAATTTTTTGGTGCTTACTTCTAGTTTTACTCAAAAATTTAGTTTTTGTATTTTTTCACGCCACATTGGATATCAAACTTCAAAAAATCATTGTGAAACCATTTTTAAGATTTTGTATGCTTTTCTTAAAATATTTTCTTCTAGTTTTTCTTCAAAATTGTTGGCGTACTTGCCTATTTCACTATGACTATCGTGTGTGGTTACTTAGTAGTCTTCTATTGAGATTATGTTTTTACATCACCCACAAATAACGACACTTATTTTAAAAAGAAACTTCTCTGTGGTAAAAATCCGCGCCATCATTCAAATTTGCATCAAAAATCGACAGATGCTTCCTTATTATAATGTTAGGTTCTTGGGACAATATCATCAACGGTTAATTCGAGGCCAAAAGAGCCCAAGTTTTCCTCTCTTCAGCCCCGCCGAGGCCTTACAGTCCAATAAGAAATTTGTGACCCACGAAAGTTTTGGGGTAAGGAGACTAAAGGCCAAAGTGATAGAGACAGTCTCGCTGGAGTCCGTGCTCATCACACTAGAAGACATTGGAACCAAAGCCACGTCTGCTACATGTTTTTTAAAGATCTTCTTTAGTTTTCCTTAACCCTCTAGCTAACACACCTATCAAGTCGACTTTGGCATTTGAGACAACATTAACATGGTCGTCGAAATTTACACCCCATTGAGCACTATCAAGGGGGTACCACTCGATTCTACGTTGAAGTTTTTATTTTGGGAGCAAGTTGCCCGCTTTATACTGCTCTTTCCCAGGGCGACCCAGATGCGGAATCTAAAAGCAATTTTTCTTCAACAACCGATCAAGAGTTAAAAAAAACAAGAGCTCTTCAATCTAAAATTCAACAAAACTGAACATTTGCATTTTTAAAAGTTGCCGATCTTTTTTTTCTTAGTCTTAATCCAGTAACTATTTCGACCTTTGAAACTAAGTTTTTTGGTGCTTACTTCTACTTTTACTCAGAAAAAGTTAGTTTTTGTAATTTTTGCACGGAATATTGGAAACCGTTTTAAAAAGTTATTGACGTACTTGCTATTTCACTATGACTGTTAAGCGTGGTTATTTTCTAGTCTTTCATTGAGATCAATAAATTACACGACCCACAAATAACGGCACTACTTTTAAAAAGAAACTTTTCTGTGTGTGTATGTTTTTAAAAGACTAGGTTCGGATCATTCTGTACTACTTGCGCAAAAAACGGCTGTCTGTTTTAAATTGCAAACAGTATATAGTATTGTTAAAAAATGTTTTGAAAAAAATGCTTGTGATTTGTTTTATTTACTTTCTTCATATGAGTATGAGCTTTGGTATTGATTAAATACCTGCCAATTATTTTATGCAGCAACCATCGGTCGGTGCTTAACCGCTCAAAATGAGTCTTAGAACAGACCTCTTTTTGAAACAGAATAGTTTTTTCTTTCAGCTTAGCGTATATGGAGGATAAATGAAGTTAAATCAAACTTTAAGTTAAAAAAATATTAAGCTTGCTAATCGAAATTTTTGTTATTAAAATGTTTAAAACACCCAATGAAAAAAAAATCTCAAAAATTATTAGTGTTTTGAATTTCAGAGGAAACTAAAAATACGGCTAAAAAATTGGAGTACTGAGAAGATCAAGAACAAAATGAAATGGAAGAAAACCGAAGGACATTTGGTGAAGAGTTTTCTTTTTACATAAGCCAATCATTTCAAAAGGTATTTTATTTTAGCGTTGAATTGATCAATTCCTTGCTTAGAACTAACTGGGATGATGAAAGAAATTTTTTCATATAAATCGTGAAGAGCGATTAATCAAATCAAGCAGCGCTTGAGTTTTGCAACTTAATTAGTTATTGTCTGATTCATGTCTGTTTTACAACCGACTGTGTTTCAATCTTCATCATAGGATGTATGCCTGTTCAGTGGAGGCGGAGCAATAAGCAGAATGGTCCAAGTGCAGAATGGTTCCAAAAATAGAAAAACAGAAACATATTGATTTGTATTGGTTTATACGAACTAATTGATCAAACAACTATTACATTCAACAAAAAATACCGAATAAATTATGCATGAGTTGAATAGTTTCATTGAGTTTTTTTATTAATTTTTTATTAAATTCTTGATTAAATTACTCAAATTATGCATAAAATGTTCGTTGCTTTATTGACATTTTTACTAATTACCGATTAACTTAAAAAAGTTGATTTTTTTGGTTTTTTGATCTTGAACCCATTCTGCTCTTAGACCATTCTGCTTTTTGATTGGCCACCCTGTTCAGCGTCATTTCATGCGCAGCTCAAGTTTGCTTAATAGTTAATTACTTTTCATAACCGCTCATGATTAGGGAGTTACGGTTACGTAGCAGTATTTAGACAACAGCGTATTCCTATTCGTCAGTAAGCAGACAAACACTGTATTAACCAATCAGAATCGAGACAAAGAGGAAATTAATAAATAATTATTATTCATTTCGAAAGTTCGCTTTCCGATCTCGGTTCTGATTGGTTAATACAGTATTTGTCTAATTACTGTCGAGTAGGTAGGAATACGCGGTTGTCTAGATACAGACCAAGGGCGACCCAGGGCGACCCAGATGCGGAATCTAAAAGCAATTTTTCTTCAACAACCGATCAAGAGTTAAAAAAAACAAGAGCTCTTCAATCTAAATTTCAACAAAACTGAACATTTGCATTTTTAAAAGTTGCCGATCTTTTTTTTCTTAATCTTAATCCAGTAACTATTTCGACCTTTGAAACTAAGTTTTTTGGTGCTTACTTTTACTCAGAAAAAGTTAGTTTTTGTAATTTTTGCACGGAATATTGGAAACCGTTTTAAAAAGTTATTGACGTACTTGCTATTTCACTATGACTGTTAAGCGTGGTTATTTACTAGTCTTTCATTGAGATCAATAAATTACACGACCCACAAATAACGGCACTACTTTTAAAAAGAAACTTTTCTGTGTGTGTATGTTTTTAAAAGACTAGGTTCGGATCATTCTGTACTACTTGCGCAAAAAACGGCTGTCTGTTTTAAATTGCAAACAGTATATAGTATTGTTAAAAAATGTTTTGAAAAAAATGCTTGTGATTTGTTTTATTTACTTTCTTCATATGAGTATGAGCTTTGGTATTGATTAAATACCTGCCAATTATTTTATGCAGCAACCATCGGTCGGTGCTTAACCGCTCAAAATGAGTCTTAGAACAGACCTCTTTTTGAAACAGAATAGTTTTTTCTTTCAGCTTAGCGTATATGGAGGATAAATGAAGTTAAATCAAACTTTAAGTTAAAAAAATATTAAGCTTGCTAATCGAAATTTTTGTTATTAA